TTCTTCCTCTGCTGATCTCCCAGTCAGTCTAGCAAGGTTTTATTTGGTATTCTGTCTCGTTCAATTTTACTTCTTTAAAAGAATGTTTGTTTGGTTAGGGTCTTTTTTAGTTGGGTTTTTTTTGGGGGGGGGTGATTTGGGCTTTTGTGCCTGGGGCTTTAATTTTTTTCCTTCTGATTTTTAGATATTTGTTCTCTACTTTGTCCTTTTTAGTTCTATGGTTTATAGGGATGTGTTTCTATTTTAAAATCTCGTTTATTTTTCTGTATTTTGCTTGTTATGGTGGGGATGATAATGATCCATCTTTCATTACAATTACTTGTCAAGATTCCTATTGATCCTGTTCAGGTCAGTCCAGCAAAGAAATTCAAAAATCTTTTTTTGATAGTTGAATGAAAAAGCATGTGGAGTTAATGTGTTATTGCCAGAACAATGACCGCAACGAACAGAAGTAAGTAGCTCGGGTAGTGTATGGAATATGAAGATTACTGTCATTGTTATGCTTGGAAACAAAATTATCGGTAGTCAAGTGCTGAAGTACGTCCTTGTTTGGTGAATGGAAACAGTAGCACTTCTTACTTTAAGTTATAATAAACTAACCTTATGAAAGCCCCGTGGTTTTCTCGTTTCCTGAGTGATTCTCGAGGGTAAGATGGAAAACAAAAGAGGGGGGAGGAGTTTCACCTAATTTTTTTTTACTAAACGCAAAAATCAGTGAACTGTTAGTGCCAGCATGGATTATTGCCATGGTGAATTTATTTTTCTTTCTTTCTTTCTTTTTTTCTTTCTTTCTTTTTTTCTTTCTTTCTTTTTTTTTGTGTGTGTGTGGGGGGGGGGGGGTGTTTGTGTTTGTGTTGAGGGGTTGGGATTGGGTGTCTTTTTGTCATAATAATATTGTTCTGCTTTTGCCTTTCCTCGCTCGTTCAGTTACGTCGCGCTTCAAGAGATCCGGAATTTTCAGCAAAGCAGGGAAAAAGAATACATATTTTTCTAAATGCTTATAGTTGCATATAAATCCGACTATGTGTATTATGCAAAATATGTATGTATATTCTTTTGATTGAATCGTCATTTCAATTGCTTAAATTATCACCACGAATGAATGCGTTATTTTTCTCCCTGCCTCCTCCATCCGTTTCTCTCTCTCTCTCTC